GTATCGTCAGCATACATTAAAATATTTGAATACTTAATAAAAGCAGCACGTATTCGTTCAGTGAATAAAATTAATGCAGACATGGTTGACCTTGACGTGTGGAAACCATGTTGGCTATTGCTTAGCATATTATTAGCTTCTAGATGCTGAAGTAGTTGATTAAATAATGTTTTTTCAAGTAACTTAGAAAAAATAGGAAGAACAGAAATTGGCCGATAGTTTGAAACTTCTGTTGGATCACCAGATTTAAAAATGGGAGTAATCTGAGCAAACTTCCAGGCATCAGGGAAAATAGACTGCACAATACATAAATTAAGCAAATGATGAAACTATTATATTCCACCCTACAATGCGGTGCCGTCAGTACAATTTGTGCCCTTTTTTTTACTTTAAGCACCTGCCCCTTTAGTGCCCTGCTGTTCCACACCTTGTTTGTTTTTTTTGTTTTTTTACAAATTTTTGTATTTGTTTGAGCAAGATTGAGCCATTACTATGTTAATGAGTGAGCTTCTTTGGAAAGTTCTTAACAGTAAATCACCTAGTGAAGGGCAGACATGCCTCAAAGACCCGTGCCAGGACTTAGCTGAATGTAGATCTCTGAACTTCCTCCATAGAGTGGGGCTCTGTGTCTGATGGGCATGTGTTTTACAATTTGAGATAAAAAAAAAACACAAGGTGCATTTTTAACTGCATTCCTCTCACTAACCCTAACCTAACCACCCTCTTGAGTAAACATTTGTAATGTTATGTGTGCATGATGTATGATAATAGTTTGTGATATAAATAAYATGTGCTCTTTCTCTGATGCAATGTGTGGCTAACAAAAACGGTATAATTTGTGAGCTTTTGTCTTTTCTTTTTCATTAAGGGTGTGAGCTTATGTCTGGGACTACATAGGGACAGGAATGGGATGCGACAAGTGAAAATTTAACTAAAGTGGAAAAAAWGTGTAAGACGAAAATAAATATAATGAAGAAAAATTAGGCAGCAGATGGTCAAAAAATGTGTAAATTCAAGTCACTGTGTAAAGAGCCAAAAAATGTATATATATATATATATTTTTTTATTTTCCAGGAAAACAAAGAAGAATTATTTTATTCCGTCTTAAAATAAATATAATGAAGAAAAATTAGGCAGCAGATGGTCAAAAAATGTGTAAATTCAAGTCACTGTGTAAAAAGCCAAAAAATGTATATATATTTTTTTAATTTTCCAGGAAAACAAAGAAGAATTATTTTATTCCGTCTTCAGATACRTTTACTGTTGTCTGCTCCTGGCTGGTCAGCTCTGTATCAGAAACAAAACTGGTCAAGGTCTGGTGRACTTTAGCAAACAAACCTCATGGTCTGATGGGGAAAGTTCATTGGTTACAAGTTGTGTGTAGTGGTGGTAGTGTGTGTGTGGGGGGGTGGGGGGGGGGTATTCTCCTACAAAATGAGCACTGTATTCTCATATCCAACAACTCTGCAGAGGTTTGTCCAGTGTTCTGTCCCTTATCCCTTGTCACCCCATGGAATGCAGTGAGAACATGGGACTAATCATTAACCTCTGTGCCTCTCCTTCTCATCCCCGGCCTGCTGGTTGGCTGGAACGCACCCAGGCCAAAACACTACTCCTGCCAGAGAATCTTTCAGGCTACGTGACTGAGTTGTGCACAGGATGCACATTTAAAATCAAGCAAAAAAGAAACAGTAAGCAAATATAAATTTCAATACACACACAATGGTTTCAAAACGTATTTAATCGATACAAGCGTACAATTTTGGCTTTCCAAAGTTGAGAACCGATGCAACACTTGGGAGCATGTTCCCAGAGTTAATGCTCCGATTCTTCCAGCCATTGTATGTTCTGTTGATTTCCTTGTTATAATCATTCACTCCACTAGTAAAACACTAATCCCAACCTCATGGACTCAACAGCAAAGACTATTAGAAAATCAGAACCCATCAAAAGATGTAGCATTTTTGGCACTGTAATTATATGCATATCAATTGGAATTTAAAAAGTTCTGCTGCAGTCAAAAGTGTATGTTGGTGAACTCTGTTCAAAGTCAGGTTGTCCTGAAAGCAAGACAAAACAGGGTTGTGCAGGAAGTAAGGGAGGGAGCCGCAGAGGAAAACACTCTGCAGACAGATAGCAGAGGCCGTGACGCCAACAAAGAAGAAGACTGATACGAGACACCTCTCATCTGACCCTAATCTCTCACTCATCTCATTCAGCTGCCACGTCTGCCGGCAGAACATCACACACACCTTCTGCAGGCATCCTTTCATCGTTTAGTTTGAGTTTGACTTTGGACTCAGACCATTTTATCACTTCAGACATGACAGCAGAACATTAGGAACAACATTTAATGCTTATAGTTGACAATATTTTGTTATTTTGGATTTGTGAGCAAAAGACAGAGGTCTTCTTGATGTGTGTATCCTTAATGCAAAACATCAAGACAGGAAACGTTTCAGTTTGTCTGTGCATTATGCATTTGTTGTGCATTGTTTTGTTTAAAGGGATCCCTGATTAGTTGTAACATTAGACTTTATTTGATAAACATATATTTTAACTGTAAAATAAAGACTTTAAAATACTGTAGGATGTTTTGTTTTTATTATTTTTTAACTAAAAGCTTAAAAATATATAACACATACGGGGCCATTTTATTTAAACGCAAAGCATTCTGGGTAAATGATAACGTGGATAGATCCTCGGTGCAAGGCTGCTAGCGAGCTATATCCACACTGAAGGT